TAATTGTGGTTTAACCGGAATGCGAAAGATAAAGATCTGTATGACTCCAGTTGCAATAAACCTGTAACAAAATTTGTATGAACTTTAAATTTTATAATAATAATTTCCAGACCACAATTTAATCCCTTATCTACAGTAAGTTTAACAGTGCTAAAAATAATCTCATTAGTGTCACAGCCTCGACGAGAATAACACACATTTCAAGAAGTATATAAAAATTTCTCATTTCTGTATGCGCCGATATATTGAGTATTTTTCAATAAACTCAATATTATAGCTACGAAGTATGTTCCTGCCATTATGTTTTTTATGCACGAGAAACACTAAATTTTAAGTGAGTATTTGTTTATAATTTTTATATATCACTAACCTATAACTAATTCTAAATAATAATTGAAGTGCCTAAAATAAGTACATGTTTCCTACAATCTGTTATAGAATAATTAATTAACTGTTCAATATTATTTCTTCACTATTAGTTTGAATTAGAAATTATCATCCATATAGTTATAGAATAACTTACAATCAATTTATTCATATCTTACAGTGCCCTGGTAATAAATTATACCGAAACGTCGGCACGTTAATACAGTAGTGTTTTAATTACATTGGACCTAATAACCCAAAAAATTTGTACTTAGTATTTAAATTGTGGTCTGGAAATTATTATTATATTAAGAAGAAATTAGGTAGATTGAAAGCAGGAAGATAGTAAATTGATTATGGGTTTTCTGGAAGATATTCGTATTCAATATGGTGCTGAGGTGGTTCAAAAATTCAAGCTGTGGGCAAATCTTACAAATAAATTGGCAAATTACGAAAACCATTCAAAATTTTTAACAAATTGCAGAAGAAATGAAGTTCTACCATCTCACATCCTACATACATCCAAGTGCATACATTTTTTATTTAACGAAGATAATCCTTATGTAAGTACTTCTTTTAGAGCACTTTCAAAATTCCAAAAAAAACATTTTAAATATAGAAATTAAAATCTCATATTGGAAAGTAGGACATTTTAAAAATTCTTTACTCAGTATTAAACAATCAATATCAAAAACAGTACCTCAAAATATAATTCAAAATTTGTCGACAGTCAAAATAATTACTACAAAAAAATATTAAATATGAAAAAAAGAAAACAAATAAGAAAAACAAACAATTTAATTAATGATCAAAAAAATGTGCAAGGTAACTACAACGTAGATAGAAATTGGTTTATTAATTTTAGCAATATTGAGATTCCGTCTAGCACACAGTACCTACTAAGTCTGGGGGATAAATTTAATCTACCCTATACAAATAAAAATTTTCCTTTAGAAAATATTTTAATTGATTCTGAATACAGTATTAATAGATTTGAATTAGAAGAGGAACGAAATGAAAAGAGAAATAAGGTTATTAACATAGTAAAAAATTTCACCAATAAAAACAATATTTCTAATAGCAAAAATAACAACAAGAATCTGCTTAAAGATATAAAAGATACCAAACTATTTCTTAAAAACAATTACGATAATATAATAATTACAAAGGCAGATAAAGGTAACACTACTGTGGTTCTACAAAAACAAGAATACATGAATAAAGCCTATAATTTACTCAATAACCAATCTGTTTACCAAAAATTAACCCAAGATCCAACAGTCGCTATTCAAAATAAAACCAATAAATTAATAGATAAATTAACAAATAACAACTTCATTGATAAAAAAACAGGCAAAAACTTTAAAAAGCAATTCAGGTATTTTTCCAAAAATGTATTTTACACCGAAAATTCATAAACAGAATTTACCACTTAGACCCATAGTTAGTTTCATAGGTTCCCCAATTTATAAATTATCAAAATATATTAGTGAACTTTTAGATTTTGCATTTTTAAAGGATGAAAAATGTATTAAAAACTCTTTCGAATTTGCAGAGTTCATTAAGGGAAAGACTATACCCAATAATCACATTTTAGTATCATTAGATATAGAATCTTTATTTACAAATATACCTATAGATTTGACAAAGAACATTATCAAAGATAGATGGCATTTAATTGAAGAAAATACAGAAATCTCTTTAGAAATATTTTTGGAAATATATCAATTTTGCACTGATAATAACAATTTATATTTAATGGAGAAATTTGCAAACAAATTTATGGGCTAAGAATGGGAAGTTGTGTCTCCGGTTTGTTCGGACATAGTTATGTCACAGTTAGAGGAAATTTGTTAAATAAATTGACTTTCAATGTTCCTATTTTCAAAAGGTATGTTGATGATATTTTCTTAGTTATACCTAAAGATAAAGTCGAAGAACTTTTGTACGTCTTTAACACCTTTCATTAAAAGTTACGATTTACAATTGAAATTGAGAATAATAACAAAATTTCATTTTCAGATACAGAAATTATAAGAACACCTGAGAATAGAATACTTATTGATTGGTACCATAAACCAACCTTTTCAGAAAGATTTTTAAATTTCAATTCCCAACATTCGATTAAAACTAAACTTAATATAATTAAGAATTTAAAACACATAGCTATGAATTTATCCAGTCCCCAATTTCATGAAAAAAACAACTACAACTACAACTAATTAAAATGTATCTTATCAAAAAATAATTTTCCGATATCATTAATCAATAGAATATTAAAGAATAACAATAATAGTCGACCAATTAGATCTTTACCAACAGAACCAACATTTTATTATAAACTCATATGTAAATAATCTTTCGGAAAAGTTAAGAAAGGTCCTCATGTCAAACAAAATAAACATAGCTTTTAAAAGTGAAAATACGATCAAAAAGAATTTTTTACCAAATTAAAAACTAAAACACCAACAGACTTACAGTCGAGTTTAATATATAAAATACCATGTAAAAATTGTAATAAAAGTTATATAGGTCAAACAAGTAGGTATCTAAAAACAAGGAAAAAGGAACATATGAGAGATGTCAAAAACAAAAATAAGCTTAATATCACATCTTTGGTAGAACATTGTAAATTTTTAAATCATGAGTTTAACTTTGACGAAACCGCAGTAATAGGTAAGAAATCTAATCTAGAAAAAAAGAAAATTTCAAGAAATGATAAACTTTAAAAAAATTCGAATCAGTAAATTCAAGAAAAGACACTAAAAATTGAAACTCTTGTTATTTCAATCTAATTAATAAAATGAAAACTTTTGATACATTAGATATTTTAAAATTATCAACCTATTTATATCTTTCGTTCCTTTCTACTTTAAGCTTGTTTATTTATTATATAAACAACCATTTTAGTTCCCAAACACTTATTCATCCCTTATCTACAGTAAGTTTAACAGTGATAAAAAATTATCTCATTAGTGTCACAGCCTCGACGAGAATAACACACATTCAAGAAGTATATAAATATTTCTCATTTCTGTATGCGCCGATATACTGATTATTTTTCAATAAACTCAATTTTATAGCTACGAAGTATGTTCCTGCCATTGTTTTTTATGCACGAGAAACACTAAATTTTAATGTGAGTATTTGTTTATAATTTTTATATATCACTAACCTATAACTAATTCTAAATAATAATTGAAGTGCCTAAAATAAGTACATGTTTCCTACAATCCTGTTATAGAATAATGAATTAACTGTTCAATATTATTTCTTCACTATTAGTTTGGATTAGAATTTATCACCCATATAGTTATAGAATAACTTACAATCAATTTATATATATCTTACAGTGCCCTGAGGATGGTAATAAATTATACCGAAACGTCGGCAAGTTAATACAGTAGTGTTTTAATTACATTGGACCTAATAACCCAAAAAATTTGTACTTAGTATTTAAATTTTATGTCGCAATAGTTTTGGAAACTATTAACAAACGCATTTTTCAGCTACATCTTGTAAAAAAGATGGAAAAACATACGTGACAATTATTATAAACAAAAAAAGAAGGCCACAAAGACAACTGGAAGTGCTGGATCTGGAAAGCGGAGAAGAAATCCAGTTCTCGATCAGTTAGGTTTTTTTGGAGGCGGTGGAACACGAAAGGCGGTAAATAATCTTTCCTTAAAACAATATTTTATTTATTTTATGTATTGCTATTCTATTTTAGATTGGTGACGAGTAATGACCTTACAGAAACTGATCATAGTCAAGAGCATTTCAGTAATAAATCTTCCAATGAAAGTATGGAAGCTAATAATACACAGTACACACACGCCTACTGTATCTCAACATCCAACAATTTCAAATGAAATTAAATAAATCAAATTTATCTTCTATAAGCAATGATACAGAGTTTCCAGTAAAAAAACGAAAGAAAGATCTTAGCTCTGACATCCTAAAGGCAATAAACCGAAGCACTTTAGAAAGAGAAAATTTAATACAACAAATTACTGCAGTTCCCCCTACACCACCTGCACCTCCTGAAGATGAAATTGATTCACTTTTCAAAAGTCTCGCAGTGACAGTTAAATCTTTTCCAGCACTACTAAGAGCGGAAACGAAAAGTAAGATTTTCCAAATTATTTCAGATGCAGAGATACAATTACTACGTCATAAACTCACTTCTTCACGATTGTCCACCTATTCGTATGAAACCAGCACACCATTACCTTTTCCTTACACCTGGGATGAACAAGATCTACCATCGGGATCTGACACATCACAATATTTTGGAAATTTTCGAGCTTAACTCATAACTTTTTTTTTTGTTTTAAGTTGTTAATAAAAATTAATAGTAATAATGTAGCTGTTACTTTAATTTTTTTCTATTAAAAAATCTTAACATTAGTATTTTTTTAAACGTCTTATTTAGTTTACCGTCCTGGCGGAGATTTAGCCATAGGCTATTCCACCATTCAACCAGGACATGTACACAACAGACAACAACCACTCCCTACGACATTGCCATCTGCCGCAGCTGAGAGTCGAACTCAGGAGAGAAGTCTCACACATCCGCGGTCTGGGCCACTACTACCGTCTCGGCAACACGAGAAAAACGCCACTAAACATCCAAGCCCTGGCCAGGATTCGAACCCGGGACCTCTTGATCTCAAAGCCTAACTCTTAAGCATTAAGCCACCGAGCCGACTGTATACTTAATTTACAATAGTTTCAATAACATCACTAAATAAGTAATTATACAGATTTCAAACAGGTACTTACCTCAATGTTACCGCCAATTTTTCTGATGGTATTATAGGATTCTTTACACGATTGCAAGGTGTCATTAAAACATCATTCTTTATAAGATTCAGTACATACACTGATATCATGAAATACGAAAAAATTCTTTAAATTTCGTTTCATTATCTTTTAGATGATTTTTTATTAAAATTGTTTGAAATTCTTCTGTCTGTCTGTTTTTAAACATAGGCAATTCTTTCTTCCTGTGTCTTTCATATTCTAGTGTCAAGAGTAAAAGCAGATTTTCCTCTTAAGCCTGGTAATGTAATAACATTAAAATAAGTGTCTTTCTATTAATATTCATTTTTCACGTATAACTGTAGGATATTCGCCAGCGACTAAAAATACTGACGTGTATAGGAGAACAGTACATGCCTTGGCGACTCGGTAGCAGCGACCCATTCGCGGCTATCAACGACCAGCGAATTTTTAGGAGAACGCTGCTTAATAATCTAAGTAGAACAACATCTGCCCTTAGATGTTATCTCTGCAGCGACCTCGAAACAATTTAATGACATTGATAAGATGATACAGCTAGCTACCTATTGTTGAAGACTATTTATCGTTTGGAATATCTGTTTTACATTCATGGATAAGGCTGTTCGAATGCCTTTTACATGTAGCATATAAATTACCGGCCAAAACGTGGAGGTCAGATCAATCAACTGAACATATTATAAAACAAAATCGGCAACGTATCCAAAATGAGTTTAGAGACATGGCAGGTATGATTGTTGATGTACCAAAACCTGGCTACGGTAATACCAATACAGGCAATGTAGCGAGACGATTCTTTCAAAATAGTGATGTCTTCTACAATAACTGGAATTGATAAAATATTAATAGAAAGGTTTCATGTTATACTACAAGGTATATCGAGCGGGTACAATTAAATAAAGAGAAGTTTAACACCTACTGTATAGAAACCGCACGTAGATTTGTATCCATGGTTCTACATGAGCACTACTACTCATAAAATTCTTATACATGGACATGAAATTATATCCAGTTGCCTCCTTCCCATAGGCCAATTGAGTGAAGAGGCTTTGGAAGCTCGCAATAAAGATTTTAAATATTTCAGAGGGCACTATAGTGCCAAAACCTCAAGAACGAAAACGTTACACGATATTTTTAATAGACTGCTAATTTCGTCTGACCCAAGTATATCTAGTATAAGAAAACAAAATCCAAAGAAAAAAAAATCTTTTCACAACCAGATATTGATATAGAATAATTTGTGTTTTTTTTTTAATTAACGTTTAATTTATCTACAATATATATTTACAATTATGTCAGTCGAAAATAAACATCTGTTAATTAATTTCATATCTATTTTATTTAGGTTACACTGCACAATGGCGAGAAACGATAAGTTGTGTATCGGATATAAAAAAAAATAAAGAGAATGCATCAAAGTAAAATTTCTAATTAATTTTGCGTAAATTTTGTATTCCAACAACCATTTATGACTTAAAATACATAAATAAATAATTCAAAGTCACGACACCAATTAATCTAACGAATGCATACTTCTGGCCCCACTGTGCGTCGCACAGTGCCCTGTCCCATAGACAAAAATCGAACAATCACATGTCGACTTAAGGAACTTTAATCCTGTCAATGTAAAGAAGATTAGTCATTACTTCTTGAAAACCAATTATTACTGTTTACTTAACATGCATATGCCACTTCCAATTTCTGATTAATGCGCGAGATGAATCGTGAAACAACTAGTCACATTTTATCGCTTGTGTACAAACGTTTCGTGCAGTTCCAAATATTGAGTTGTTATTATCGAAGTACTATGGAGATTACAGGTCCAGGTATATAGTTTATAATAATATTTAATTAACATTATCTCATGCTCTGATAGATATATACGACATATACAAACTTATGAATCGAATTTTATGCCGAATAAATGTATTGCCGAAATTTAAAGAAGCTTTTAAAAAAATCTCCAAATATCCTCTCGTGGTTTTTATTTCTTCTTGTTGCTACATTAGTGCACTTTCACTTCCAATATAATTGGTGAGCGTCTGCTTGCGACTTATTCCTTATGAATTCTTTTTTCAGCCGGATACTCGTTTAAAAACATCGACCTAGCAAAAGTGTGCTTTGTGACCGAAAAGAGCAAACGAAATATAATGGTTTTCAACAAATTGTGTTTGCACTTAAAACTTACTGAGTGCTCTGATAAACAACGAAAGCAACTAATATCTCTCAGTAGAATATTTTGCTTAAAATTCAACAAAAAGTTGGATGATGTCAAATTCCGTCTGCGCTACAAAGGCATGGCTTCAACAAAAAATAAAGTTGCCAAAGGATTTCACATGTGTTTCAGTACCATCCAACAACGACATGCCTGCGCCCAAGTCATCGTCCCCGCGGAAGACCCTGTAAACCTTTTGCGGAAGCATTGTTAAAAACTAAGAAAAGACGTGTAGCAGAGGTCATGGCTAGTAGGACTTTTGAGGAAGATCTGTTGTAAATGAAGTAAACAAAGACTGCTTTCCAAGCCTCTATATGAAGACCACAGGCTAAAAAGGATGAAGGTCCAAAATATCGCTTTTTTAGATAGGCTTGCCAAAGCACGGACAAAATGCGTTACTTGATGCCTGCTTTATCGTACAGAATAAAAAAGATGAGAGCGATAAGTAACACGCATTTTAATATTAGCCCTACAGGGGAAAAAGATGAAGGTCCAGCATATGTACGAAAGAAAGATGAGAGTCCAACCGTGTTCGCGTTAATCCCCACTTTTAGTTTTTGTCACGCCATCGTTACGAATAACAATATTCTTTGTGTTCTGTGAGTGGCTGCGGTTAGTATTTATTTGTCTTCTTGTTTTACGTAGAGGTTAGTTCTGTGTGTGTTTATTGTCGTGCCGGATTTCTCCAAAAATGTCTGTTCCAAAGAAAAGGCCGAGGTTTGGAAGTGTTTTTGCTGCTTCAAAAAAATTTAGGGTGCAAAGCCATGAAATTGGTGATAGTTGCAATTGTTCAAAATTAAAATGTTTTGAAGTTATGGATGTGAGGGACCGTTTGACGATCATTCAGCATTTCAATGAACTTAAATCGCACAACGAGCAAAGTCTTTATTTGGGTGGACTTATATTCGAGCCAGTGAAAAGGCATCGAAAAAGGAAAGGTAACGACGAAGATGTAAACTATCACTCCTTCTTCTATAAATATAAGGTAAAACAAATTCTTTAAAATGTTCTTTTTTAAAAAAACCTTTTGTGTTTTTAAAGTTTGAGTTGTGCAAGGAAACGGTACAAAAGAAATACCTGTTTGCTACAAGGCAATGCTCTCTTTGCATGGAATTTCTGCGAAACGCCTTCAAAATATTCAGAAAAGACTAGTTACAAATGGACAGGTTGGTCGAGATGGTCGAGGTCTACATAACAATCGACCAAACAGTTTACCACAAGCAACAGCAGATGCAGTTTACATACACATTAAGTCATTTAAAGGTAGGCAATCACATTATAGCCTACATAAGTATAAAAAAGACTTGCCTACCAGACGATCTTAATGTAAAAAAAATGTTTAACATGTTTAAAAATTTGCACCCAGAAAAAGTAATATCGTATGAGTAGTAAGTAAGTAAGTAAGTAAACATTTATTTCCCATTATTATCACCATAAATACAATAGATAGTGGTGAACATAAACACAATTTATAATGTAACAATAAAGAACCTACTCAAAGGTGTAGGGAAAAATAGATTTTTTTTTTATAATATATATATGGTCATATTATATTAGATATATACCTAGTTATACGCCTAATAGACTAATAACAAACAAATAGCTATAGCGTTGTTTCTGTATGCAGAAAGTAAATGCATATAAATGAAGTAAGCTACAACTGAGCGAGTGATCCTAATAATACAGTTATAATTAATCTAATTAAGTTATACACACATAATATATACAGACATAAAAATATATATTTTTATCTTTATCGTTCTATTTTTGTAAAAAAAATTCAACATTAGTTTTGGTTATCCGCGAAGTGATACATACCGAGTTAGATGTGAACAACCGACTTCATCTTAAAAGGCGGAAGCTTTTTATGAGCGAAAACGTTCCGAATGCAAAAGAGCTAAAAAAAAACAAGCATATTGAAGCTATCGCAATGGATTATCAGAAGAATTTGGCATTACCGAATATTACCACGAATGATGTTTACTACAAGCGGCAGTTGTCATTTTACCTATTCAATATCCATGTATTAGCCACTGGTGAAGCACTTTTTAACACCTACACACAAACAGCAGCAAAAAAAGGATCTGACGAAGTCGCCTCGCTTTTGTTTCACTACATTCATAATGAGTTAGACCCAGCAATACAAGAACTTGTGATCATTTGCGATTCGTGCTGCGGACAAAATAAAAACTATACTTTATTCCGAATGCTTCATTACGTAGTTCATAAAGTAGGCCGACTCCAATGTGTTAAAATGGTCTTTCCAATCCGAGGACACAGCTACATGGAATGCGATAGAAATATGGGATTGATCAATAGCAAAGCACTGGTTGAACTTCCTTCGGAATGGGATGAACAAATTCGTAACGCACGTGTAAAACCCAACCCTTACAAAGTTGTAAGCTGCGAAGACTAGAACATTTTTCTAAAATGGACTGATCATTTAAAAAAGTATTATGTTTTAAAGTGTCCCTTCGAAAGTCGTCCAATTAGAGAATTAATAATAAAAAAGGAAGACCCCCGAAAGATGCACACCGATATTCTTACACTGGAGCTTTTACGTCAAGTATAGTAGTGACATCAAGGAAAAAAAGAACTAAAACAAGACAAAAACTCGCAAACCGGACCGTAATTCCTATATTGCCCGACCTACCTCTTGGATAATTTAAACTCCCAGATCTTAAATATGA